TTTCGTGGCGGCGGAAGGATCAGTCATTCATTACATTGCATTATTTTGTCGATGTGTTGTGCTTCGAGTAGAAGTGAGGGCTGTAGAAGTGAGGGCTGTAGAAGTGACAAACGCGGGCCGTAGGAGAAATTGCAATGGAGCTGATGCGGCAACGAGCAACGTTGCAGCCCCCCCCCCCCCCCCCCCCCCCCGGGTGGCCATCTCTGGTTTGGTCTCGTCCGCTCAGTTGCTCTCATGTGTGTGCCGCCTCCGGCAGTTTGGTTTGCTCCACCCTTCAGTAGAAGTACTGACAGCATGATTTTTGCAGTTCATATTTGGTCGTGCATACTAATATCGCGTAATAAGTATTAGCAGGAGGCGTTATACCGCATGCAAGTTAATGCCACACAACTTTCACAGCTACAGCTATAAAGGGGAAAGCATTTTAGGCATAAATTTTGTCATGTAGCACTGACGTCACATGCAATTATGAGTATTAGAAACATGTCGCGTATAACTAAAGGCTATAGGTATTCTTGCAGTAGAAGTCAAGACGGGCACAAGTTGTTGAAGCATGGGTTTTGTCGTGTAGCACTTATACCGCGCGGGAGAGCCGGGAGTAAAAGTGATGTCGCTCATAACTAAACACCAGCAAACCTTATGCAGCAGAAGTACAGTCGCGTAGAACTATCGCTGTTGCATACCTGCCGGCTGCCCTATTTGCAATGCGGTAAATGTGACAGCGGTGATCCCGCACGTGCGCCGGCGGCCCGTCCTCGGCCTGGCCTCTGCGCTGCTGTGACGCGGCACCTGTGTGGCCTCCGCCCGCCGTCGGTGGCCTCGCGCCCCCATTGTCGGTGCAATTTGGACCTAATGCTGCCGCGGTCCGGGACGCCCGCGCTCAAGGCCCCTGCAAGAGCGCCTGCCCGAGGGCATCGTTTCATAGTCCACCTCTGCGCGGCGGGCGACAGACGGCAGCCGTGTCGCCATGGCAACGAAGCGCCGCCGGCGCGCACGTGGTGCAAACGAGCCGTTTGATGCTGCCGCCCGCATTGATGTGCTGCAAAGGATTGACGGCGGACGAAGGCTGAAGTTATCCTTAAAGAGCAGCCTCGGGTCCACAGACCGTTCCTAGCCTTGTCCTCGTTTGTTTGGACCTCGAAGACTGCCCACAGCGGCTGCGGAGTGAGCCGTCGGAGGAGGCTGTGTGCACCGGGACAGCTGGAATGCATGCTGTCGGCTGTTGATGTTCATGCGCAGGAATTTGGGCATAAAGCAAGTCTTGCGCGATCGGGCAGGTTGTTTGGTTTCGGTAATTTACTGCTTTCGCTTCTTTGATCATGCGCGCCGGGCAAATACCAACGCGAATTAATCCGTCTGAACGCTCCGTTCTACGAGTAATCCGCCTCCTAAATCTTACGTGCGTTGTCTCTCAATTAAGACGCCGACGTAGTGATTGGGAAATCGGCGCCCAGCCAGCTACTCCATGCGCTCTCAGTCCAGGTTCGGGGTGGTTTCGGGGGTTCACTAGATTCGGGGTCGACAGCGCGTTCAGACGCCGCGGCAGAACGCCAGACACTGCAGCATACGCTCCCAGTCCAGGCTCGGGGTGGTTTCGGGGGTTCACTAGATTCGGGGTCGGTAGCGCGTTCAGACGTCGCAGGAGAACGCCAGACACTGCAGCATACGTTCCCAGTCCAGGCTCGGGGTGGTTTCGGGGGTTCACTGGGTTCGGGGTCGGCAGCACGTTCAGACGCCGCGGGAGAACGCCAGACCCTGCGGCATGCACTGTGGTCTCAGCCCGCAGCATATCTGCATGACATTTTTAATGGGCTGCTATCCTTGTGGTCCCTGAAATGAGTAATTCGCTTGTTAGAGAGATTATGAGCCGGTACCCCCTCTACAAAAAATGGCGTAAAATATTATGTGGGAATGTGATGACGACTGTACTTCAAGGTCTGAGCGACGCTTCGGCGAACCTGAGTAACATCTGAGATTGAATCTTGCAGCGTTCCACAAGCCTAGACCACTGCGCCCATCACATGTTCCGCTGTCACAGTCGAGTACCAGCATGACGTGCCAAATTCCCAGTGTCCGTGCACTTATGCGTGTTAAATCTCTGCCCCGTATGAAGCCACGTTGGAACGCTTAAACACGTAGAAGTCGCCTCCATGCTCCGTTGGGAAAAATGTATCGACAAAAAGCGGGAGCTTGACTTGTGTTAAATCTTTTCCTTTACTGCCTGAGCCTGCAGACGGTGATGCTGCATATTGTGGTCATTCAGAGACTTCCTGGAATTGTGTACGATACCGTCGTGTTCAGTTGTACAATCTAACTACTCCGCTGTCTTACGCAGCGTTATGGGCTGTGCGGCCTCCTGTGACAGAGGTATTCACGGGCAGGATTTCAATATCCGTGCCCGCCCATGCCCGCTTGGTCAGCCCGTGCCCACCCGTCAAACGCAACATTTGGTTATCCCCCGCCCATTAACTAAGCCGTTTGCCTTTTCCTCGGCTGTTGTTTTCCCAGCAACTTCATGTCAGGCGTATAAATGCGTTAAGAACTGTTTTCCAGTGCTTTAATGCACGGTTATTTACTCTCTCTGCTGTGTTGCCCTTTAATGGCAGATCATTTTGCCAAGAGAGAAGGCGGTGAGCACTGAGCACCGGCAACAGAGTGGTGCATTGAGTCTACAGCTTGCGAAGAAAAGCATGAAGCGTGTGTGTCTAAGTTGACCAATGAGATGTCATCTTAACTGGCTGACACAAAAACCGTCATTCGGCTTTCAGTTGCTGGTAAGCATGCTAGAATTTTTGCCCGTAGGTCTCATCGCGCAAGACAAACATGGTAGCATATGGAGGATAGACGAGTAAAAGATCCAACAACCTCCACCTGCTTATGACTCGCTGCAGCTTTGGGCTACGGTCACTTAATCGTATTCTCGTGGAGTTTCGTGTTGGTTAGGCCTCAAAGGCAAGTACTGAGTACTTTATGAGCAATTAGAACAGTTACGACAAACGTTACCAGCTTAACAAAGTCAGGCGCGGGTAACGAAGGATCAGCATTTACTATTCACCTGCTGAACACCCTCATATGTATGGCTTTCCGCAGGTCAGTTTTACATACCAATAACCGTGCAGAAAGTGCTACATTCCAGCTCCATTATCGTCATAGACTGGGAACTATGAAGCTGGACGCCATGACGTTCCTGATGCAAGGCTTGTTCAGCCACCTGCGGTAGCTGGGCTTCATCCGATAGGGGCAGCTGAAGCTGCCGCCGTTGGGCCACCTCTGCCGGCCCCCGCCAGTCCGTCTTCACAGAGGCCGAGCGCGTGCCGAGGCGGGTAGCCGCGCCAGCGGCAGCCGAGGCCGTAGGCCGCCTGGCGCGTCACGTGGGTTATCTGGCGCGTCACGTGGGCGGCCCGGGTGTGGGCCGCCTGGCCGTGGGCTGTCTGGCGCGTCACGTGGGCTGCATGGCCGTGGGTCGTCTGGCGCGTCACGTGGGCCGTCTGGCGCGCCGGCCCCGCGATGGGCGGCGGCTGCGCACCAGCTCCTGAAGTGTCACGTGTGATTCCGTGTTATGTTACTGTACATGTCCGTTGTGCTTTAGCATGGCTGTTACTGTGTCACTTCCAGGTCACTCGCATGTCACGCTACTCTCACTTTCCTTCCTCTAACGCCCTAACTCGTGGCTATCCTCGGTTCCTATTCACTAACTCTGCAGCGTTGTTTTTTCTCGTGTTTCATGTCCATGCACGCACTCGTGTCTTTTTCGCCTACGCGCTCCGTTTACTGCAGCGTGTTCTGTGAGCTTTATGGATCTCTTTGCCTATGTGGGCCCAGACCGCACCGCACGAACCGAAACAATATGCTGCTGCAGGTAATGTTTGATGGCTCGTCAACACCCCGTGACGTCATGATTAGCCGTGCTCCCGTGGATACCTCTTCTGGTTTGCATTTCACTATTCGGACCAGATTGACTCGGTTCTAGAATCGGTATTGGTTCCTGTGATTCAGACCTGGGATGTCCCCAGCGAGCTCTCTGTGGCCGAACTGTCGAAGCTCTGGGCGCCGGGCGGTCGCAGTTCAGGCGGATCCATCAGGGATCCAGGATCCGGACAGCCACATGACAGGAGCATCAAGGATCCAGAATTCGGGAATGTCACATATTGGGGTCCGTCGGGAACTATCTAGGCGATCCCAGAGCTGACTCGGGGACGATTTTTCAGAGATCCATTTCCAAGTTCCGAGACAATAACAATCACAGATAAGGCAGGCAGCGATCCCACAGGGATATGGGATCTTGTTCAGTGCACACCAGGGAATACACCAGGGACGGCGGGCATTGACAATGCCGCCGTAAGACCCATCAGCTTCAGCGTCGGCTGGCGTTAACTGAGCTGTCCGAGGCGTCTTGCCGTCGCCTTTTTACGGGCCGGCTCTAATCGCTCAACGTTTTTGTCCTATGCGGCCTGAGAGATGCCGCCTCGGAGAGCTGCTCCCAGGCCGGCGAGGAACGCCGGCGGCACCGGCGGCCCCAGCAGGTCACGGACGCCACCCCACCCCGCCGAGACCCTCCCCCCACAGCACCCCACTCCTCTGCAAATGGTGCAGTACGGGATGCGGACTACCAAGCTGCGGTCTCGTGTTTTGCCATCCGCGTGTGGTTTCTGCAGTGTGCTGCGCTCCTGCTTCAGGAGGCTGGCGCCGCCGCTGGGCGCCGCCGTGCGCGATTTGCCGCCGTCGCGCCGCGTCTGCCGCAGGTGTTTTTGCGGCGCGTGAGGAGTGGGCGGAGCCTCATTAGCTGAGCAGCTACTGCAGCCGGCTGTCCGTTAGGTCCGAACAGGCGAGCCGAAAAACACGCCGCCTTTCCCCGGTGAGATCATGCAGATTGGGATTAGTGCTTTTTTATCGGGTCTCTAGGTGCATCCGTTTGGCGAAAGGCGCCGGCGTCCATAAACAGCGCGCCTGTCTACGAGGTCGTGAGTGTGCCAATGCGCGGTACCATACGTGATGAGCGCTTCCTGGTGCTCGGAGAGGATGGGGTGTGCATGCCAGATGAGTCTTGGGCGTCCGGCCGATCGCTCATGGATGTCATCACCAAATCGCTCACTGTTGTTGGACTCGTCCTTGGCGGTCAATTGGTAGCCGGCCCAGATAAGCAAGTAAAAACATGGCGGTCGCATCGCGGCGGAGTCTGGCAAGGGGAAATCTTCCAAGAAAGTTCGCCCGTTTGATTGGAATTGCTTGACTGGGCTGCTGAGGCCAAGATCTTAATGTTCCAGTCCATGCTCGCAAGGCGATTCTTGCAAGACATTCGGACGACCTTGTTTAGTAATTCACCTGAAAAATGTCAGAGACAGCATCTGCGAATTCAACTTCCCGACAAGAGGAAGACAGCGCTTCGCCGCCGTCCGCCACCTCCTTTCTCAGAGATTCCCATGGAAGAACGCCTTCGCCGCAGCAAGGACGCCAGCTCACACGTGTGACTGCATGCTGTACACGGGCGAACATCCGACATTTCCGGCGACACGCTGCGTCCGTGCGTCTGCCGCCAGACAGCGTCTGCACCGTTGTCGTGGCTGGAGTTTTGCACGGCCTAGCTCGGTCCTAGAGACGCAACACCTGGTGTCAGTCGCCCGGCCGTTGACTCGCCTCACCTTGTTCAAGACGTTCAAATAGCAAAGCACAGCGTCTGGCAGGAAGCCATGATGTTTTCGAAACTGCAGGATGTCCGCCGTAATTTGCAATACCGTGTTGTACACTGGTACACGCACTCCACACACACTCTGGGCACTCCACACACACTCTGGCGCGAACTTGTCACGTGAAGGTGTCATAGATCCGAGGCTCCGTGCAATTCTCAAACACCTTGTCCTCAACTTCAATATTACCAAGGTCTCCATTCATTTTTAATGCCTCGGTTGTCATGTTCCCGTGCCACCTGTCATCGACTGATAGTTTGCTCATTTCCATACTAAACCCGGTCCTAAAGCATAATGACTGCTCTCTCCGTGGCTGTATGGGGCTGCTCTTTCCATGGCTGTATGGGGCTGCTCTCTCCGGGGAGGTATGGAGGCTGCTTTCTCCGGAGCTGTGTGGGGCTGCTCTCTCCGGGGAGGAATGGGGCTGCTTTCTCCGAGTCTGTATGGGGGACTGTTCTCTTCGGGGCCGCATGGGGGATGCTCCCTCCGGGGCTGTTTGGGGGCTGCTCTCTCCAGGGCTGCACGAAGGATGCTCTCTCCGGGGAGGTATGAAGGCTGCTTTCTCCGGAGCTGTGTGGGGCTGCTCTCTCCGGGGAGGAATGGGGCTGCTTTCTCCGAGTCTGTATGGGGGACTGTTCTCTTCGGGGCCGCATGGGGGATGCTCCCTCCGGGGCTGTTTGGGGGCTGCTCTCTCCAGGGCTGCACGAAGGATGCTCTCTCCGGGGAGGAATGGGGCTGCTTTCTCCGAGTCTGCATGGGGGACTGTTCTCTTCGGGGCCGCATGGGGGATGCTCCCTCCGGGGCTGTTTGAGGGCTGCTCTCTCCAGGGCTGCACGAAGGCTGCTCTCTCCGGGGAGGTATGGAGGCTGCTTTCTCCAGAGCTGTATGGGGCTGCTCTCTCCGGGGAGGTATGGAGGCTGCTTTCTCCGAGTCTGTATGGGGGAGTGTTCTCTTCGGGGCCGCATGGGGGATGCTCCCTCCGGGGCTGTTTGGGGGCTACTCTCTCCAGGGCCGCACGAAGGCCGCTTTCTCCGGGATGGTGTGAGGGCTGCTCTCTTAAGGGCTCCAGCGTGGTCGGAACAGGGACATTTCTCTGCAGTGCGACACCACTCAGCAGGTCATCTCCGTCCACCCTCGGGCGCCCCAAGGTCGCCATTGTCCACTCCAAACATGTGCTCTTTGGACAGACGGACGAGCTGGATCTCGGCGATCGACTAACAGAAGCCGGACAGCCCTCCAGCGCGGGGTAAACGCCGGAGCAAGCGCCGGGCAAACAGACAAAGAAGAGCAGAACAAACAGTCATGAATGGGCCGAGCAAATGAACCAACAGGAGCCAGGCGGACCAGCCGACAGCAGCAGACAAGCGGTCCGACAGACCCCAAATGGGAGCTGAACTCGGCGCCAGTGATGGGCGCCAGACGAGGCTGAGTCACTCGTCGGCGGCGCTGGGCGGGGCCGAGTCACTGAGTCATTAGTCGGCGGCCCTGGCCGGCGCCTGCCCGGACGGACAGCGGGCGGGGCGGCCCCGGCGGAGGCGACGCTGCCGGGCCGCCTTCGACGGCCCCTCCCAGACAGGCTGTGCTTCCAGTGGGCGGACACAGAGGCCCAGGAGTGCTCCGGGCAGCGGTACAGCGAGCCGAGGGCACCGGAAAGTGCTCACGTGCCCGAGATACTGCGCTGGCACCTCTCGTGTTGCGCTGGAGGACTGACGGGGATTGAGTACAGATCTGCGGCGTAATTTCGAGATGCAGAAGGGGGCGTGTGAAAACCCGGAGCGCCGTAGGCCGGCAGTGTGCTGCGCATTAGCTAGCGCAGCGGTGTGCTAGAGCGTATTGCAAGAATAATGTAATCGCTTTTTGGATTAGGATATGGGGATATCATACAGAGATGGACTTCATGTAGTAAGAAATTTGTCGGATTTAATCACCAGATGTATGCAAGAAAATGACAGCGTTCTCGTGCTCTTCTGCCATTTTTGGCGCAAGACAAGATGCCGAAAGTATGAACTTAATTCATCGGAGCACGATCAGTCCACTCCCACAATGCGCAAAGCACAAATAACAGTATCTGCGTAAACAGAAGTGTTTAGCCAAAATACTCGAGACTACTTACGAAGCATGATCTGCGGCATCCATCATCTCCGGAACGTGCGCCCAAGGAAAACACTTCGGCTCGAGCCAACTGATTTTCACGGCACGCGGCGGCGGGGCAGCCTGTGGGCTCGCGCGCAGCGTGTGCCATCAGGCGATCGGACGCTGCCCAGGGGCTGCTCCATCAGACCCCCGCCGTCGATCGGCCCCACAGCCCGGCTCCTCCGCAGCGCATCCCAGCGCCGGCGCCCGACGAGCGGCGGGAGGCGTCCCCGCCTCCCCGCCTCCCCGCCTCCCCGCCGGTTCCTGACAGGCCGCCGAGCGCATAGATTACCGCCCCTTGTTTGTCCTGGGCGCGTTCAAACAAGAGCTATCGCATGCATGACGAATCAAACCAGCGGCGGTGGTGCGGAGCGGCGGGGGACGAGCGCGGCCCGATGCGGATCGGGCCGAACATTTGCATCGTTTAGCATGCGGTCGGCGGGCAGTGGAGCGGGCTACGGCGCCGGCCGGGCTCAGGTTAGCCGCTGCCGATGCCGCCCTGTAGAGCGGTGTCAGGGCCAGCTGTGGTGCGTGTCCAGAACGGCCGCGGGGACCGGCACATGCGGCGGCGGCACTGGCAGCTCGGCACGCTCCCGGTCGGCGGCGCAGCGGCCGCGAGGGTGCTGGTCTCAGCAGGCCTCGGCAGCGCCACACGATCCCAGCGGCGAGCGGCATGGCTGAGGCGCGGCTGCTGAGGACGGGGTGACCTTCGCAGCGCCGCATAGGGAGCGCAGATGGTGGCCCTGTAAATAATGCAAGCGGGCCACGGACGCCCTGAGTCGAATGCAGGGCGGCTGCGGTCTGCGGCTGTGGTCAGATTGCTCGGAGTTATGTTTACAGGCTCAAGGGCATGCATATGGGCGGCATCTGCATGCCCGCTGTGCTAATCACGCGCCCAAAGTCCGCCACATATGCGGAGGATCCCTCAGTGTGCGAAAACCCAAGATGAATGTGATCCTTTGCGCGATCTGTGCGGTTTCAAAGAGCGCCCACCCGGACCGTGGCCGATTTTCTGGCTCCGGTGTCGATTCGGATTTTTTTTTTAAACTTTGAAAGGAATCCGTTTAATCCCTCCCAAAATCGTAGTTACGCAGTTAATTGGTTTAGAGGTGGAGGCCGTCTGCACAGTCGTACCGCCCGCGGTTGCCTCAGAACAGGCCTCGTCTGGAAAATGCTGGCATCGCTTCCACCGCGCGTTGTGGACCTGAGCCAGCAGACTTCCGTAACGAGCGGTGATCGGCGCTCATGACGGGCCGATAACG